TAGATACTATATCTTTGTTTTATTTTAACATATTTATTTATAACCTATATTTACAATTTCAAAAAACGTTCAAAACTTTTTATTAAGCAGGTTTGTGGCTTTTATTTTGCCAAGTAGTCAATTATTCCCATTGAGGTATTCAGATATTTCGGCTCCCTAGTGGGCTAATAAAGAAGTTTAATGTAAAAGAAAAGGAAAGAAAAAGTATCAGATCACATAGATGAAGTTGTGGCAAAAAGGACAACAAATTGGAAGTGGTAAATGATTTTTTTCAATCTGGCTATAGAAGGCAAAATCCAAAGTACTCCAATTGGCTGAAATTGGTATTGATATCCACAAAAACAGTCATCAGAACTCGTCTAGATTTTTGGTCCGTACATATCTGATTTAGTCACAGATTTATCTAATAACACTGTCATTTATCGTCTTCCTTGACGTATTTAGATTTTAATTGTTGATTTCATGGCTATGTATAACAAAGACAGTCGGATATTGGCAGAGGGGAACACAGAAGCAGCCTTTGCTGTGCAGCACTGGGACTCTGACTGATTTGGTCTTTATTGACGTATTTCCTGCTATCTGTGACGCACAGCTTCCCAAACTCGGGGAAAAACACTCAATATCGACACGGTGAGTAAGCTGCCACCGGGTTTGGAAAACAGCCTTAAACACATTGACAAAGTAGCATCTTCTGTTGTAGCTCCATGATGTGCGGATTTGCAGAAATTCACACATTTCTGTAATATGGTGACACAAACAGCGACCCAGTTACTCATATGCACAGCTCTCTGTGGCTATAATTGGGCTCTATAGTACTGATGCTATTCTTACATGCATGATGAGTAAATCTTTACTCTTCTCTCCTGTTCTCAATTATTCTATTTCTGAATGCTTTTATATGTCCTTATTTACACCATTCCCAATCTTGTAGTCCTTGCATGGTGTAAGTCAGGGGTGTCCAAAGTCGGTCCTCGATTTCTATCTGCTTCTTCAAATAAAACACGTGAATTATATGAACGCAACAGACACATGAATTATTCATCCTCCTCCAGTTCTGAAACAGCCTGCCTTTCTCTTTAGCGAGCAAGCCGTTCTTCAAAAGAAATAAAACCTTAAAAAAGAAATTAAATTCTTTCATTCATAAGGTTTTACTGAAAGTGTAATTTAGTTTTATCCAGAATGTGGGAAAACTATGGATGGAAGACTTGCTAATTCAGCTTTATTTTTAGAAACTTGAATTGAATACAGATGGAAATATTGTGATATAAACTCTCTAGGAAAATAAATGTTTTTTGGATTTGGGAGTTGGTTTTGTTCATTTTTATTTCTCAAAGTGCTTAATTACCAAGAAATATTAAAAAATATACACAATGTTAAGTATGTGGGAGCTGTTATGCTTAAAGAGGCGGTATTATGTATTTTCCAGGCATTCTGTATCATAATTCAATAACTATGTTACCTTCAGTTGTTATAAAAATACTGTATATATCAATGTGACTTAAAAGAAACTTAACTTTGTAATTTAACGCCTTGAAATTGGGATCCTGTCTCTTTAAGAAGCTTCTGCTCTTTCTGAAACTCGGGAAGTCATCACAACATGACTCCTCTATTAATCCTTTAACAATGTTTTTACCAATGTTTCACTGAGAAGTTGAGTGTATAATGAGCTCAGCACATGTGCAGTTCCTCCAGGTGTTTGCTAGTTGCTGCTGGCTAGTCTGAAGGAGCTGATTGAGGGAATCGCTGGGGTGGGCTGCTCTGTGAACCACAGCCCATACATGGACCATGACCATGTAAGGAATCTATGAGAAGATATTTAACTTCATGCTAACAGTCATAGCTAGTTGTAAATGTATTTGTTTAACAAAATGTTTCTCAATCTGTTCCAGGCTGAGGATCACTTTACTCATTTAACAAGCACTCACCGGCCACCTGGCTTAAAATTGCCCTCGCAATAACATAACGTCTTAAACTACACAACCTGAAATGAAAATATTGGTCTCTTAACTAACGAGAATGGCAGAGTCGTTTTGGCCACAACAAAACTCAGGTTTGAGTCGTCTAAAAATTCTGAAAGTGTGGATTTTCAGTTTTACAGTAATGTCATATAACACATGGAAATAAACTACAAGTGTTGTATGCATTAATAACATTTTAGGGCGACTTGTAATTTAGAATCAGACTTGAGTTGTTTTGGCAGGAAAATAAAAATGTTTTTTGCACCGTTAAATATAAAAATTATTCACATATTTCAAATGTCAAATGTTTTTATCTATTCTATGTAAATCATTTTAAATTAAATAAAAATAACACGTTGACATGTGTGCTGAGCATTATTAGCAAGTCAAGTCTTTAAAAACGAACAGTTCTTGCTTATTGGTCATGACAAATAAACGTTTTCATGCAGTACCACTAGGGGGCGCCCGCGGACCTTCAGTGGTCTGGGAACCGCAGTTTGAGAGGCAGATTTTACTTTAAATAAAAGGGATAGTCTCAATTGTCTGTTTTTGTATTTCCACATTGCTGGCCTTGTACTTTTATACTGAAAGGGAAGTTCAGTCTTTTTATTGTTACTGAGCTGAATTATCAATGTGGCGGAGGGCAAATACCACCACACAATTTGTAACACCAGAACATTCAATCCAATGTCTCATATATTCTTTCAAAAGCAATATAAACTGGAGGAATGGGATGACAGACAATGTTAAAGGTTTTGAAACTGTGGAGGTGAAACATCTGTTTTTCAGATTTTTGGAAGCATTCACACTCATCACTGTTCTTTGATGAAACATTTTCATTGTTAGGATTCCAATTATCTTAAATAAATAATAATAGAAAAGGAGTCAAAGATTTTCTGCCTCTATTGTCGTCTAACTGGCTGCAGGCATGTGCTTCTTTCTTGTTCCCATAGCAACTTTCTCTTTATAATTACTGCAGTTTGCACCTTTAAAAGCTCTGCAGAGCTCTTTGGGTTCATACACTGGCAGTCACTTATCTCTCAGTTTTTTAAATAAAATTAGATAAATGTATTTTAAATCAATAAACTGCAGACTAATGATATGTTTATGTTCTTTTGAAAATTAATTGTGAACTTCAGAATGATGTTTGTTCTTGACACCTTCATTAAATAAATTGATTTCTTTGTGCTCCTTACTTATGGACAAGCCTCAATGTTTACACCAGTGCACATAAGTGGTCAAACAGTTTCTACCTCAACTATCCAAAAGTAAAGTAGAAGAGTTTGAGTTGTAGCATTTAACATACTGAGGTGGTGAGTCGCGTTCAGAGGGTCAAAAATACACGTCAGATGTGTAGGATGGAAATGTTAGAGCGTTATTTACCTGAAATAATGTATCTTTGTATAGACAGATATGCAACAATTTGAGCAGTATTCATGTTAAAATGGCCACATCTGTTGCTGTGAACAACAAAGAGTTGTAGTTAAAGATTAATTTAAAGAGGTTCTAAGTGTTGGTGTGAGATTTCTAGTAATGCAGATGAACTTCCATAAATATCTCTTTCTTTCTGCTTCTTCACATTATCCAGGTTAAATGTTCAGTGTGACTTGTACATCAGTGTTATTTGATGTTTTGTGGGCTTTGTTCAGGCTCAGACACTGCAAAGCAGCCGTCCCCATGGAAACGCCACCTATCCTGTCTTTTAATTGCCTCAGAAATGCTCTCAGTGTGCTGATTCCCCTAATATATCTGATTTAACCCCCCGCACCCTTCTCAGCTTTGATTTCATGCTTGTGTTAGTGCTTAAGAGTGTTGCCATGGAGCACCCAATGGGGCGTTGTTGTTTTAATGGGAGAAACTACGTGGCTGGGCATGCACTTCACAGGACTGGTGCTTTGGCCAGGTCCCTGCATGCTGCTAACACTTTCAACATGGCTGGATCCAGATGATAAAGCTGAAAAGGCGCAGGACTTTGGTTGGAAACACGGTCGTTTCCCTCATTTCGCTCTAACTATCCTTGTTCTTCTTTCATTTCCGTCTGCAATCACTACACAGGCAATTTTAGTGGCTCACTCATTGCCAGAGTCAGGCACAAATGGAGCAGAATGTTAAGTGTGCAGATAGAGAGAGGCTGATGGAACACCATCACTGATAAAGTGGGTGCCACTACACTCACGGCAGGCTGAGCGCATTGTCGGAGTGAATTTACAGGTGAGGCGTCTCTGTATTGTAGAAAACTATTCATTACTGAGTCCTGGGATTTGGTATAAGCTCAGGTGTTTGAGGGCTGTAGGCCCCCATGCTTATGAGCCTCACAAGCTGCGTTTCCATTGCAAATGTGCACAAAACTTTGTCAATATTCTGCTAATGTCGAAGAAACACAATTTTGCAACTGCAGTGTTTCTATTACGTAAGAAACAATTAAAATCACACGTGATTTTAATTATGATAAGTCATTAAAAGGCAGCCGTGCTGTCAAACGAGTAGTAACATCTGGTTGTTGGTCACGTGACTCGTGTGATGCGAAAAAAAGTGTTTCTGTTGCAGTTTTGTGAAATAAAACTTGGCAGTATTTTGATACAGCTGAAAAAATGCCACACGCTAGTATAAAAAAAATGTAATCAAAAAATGTGAGTCTTTTGAAATTGCCGTGTTTCCAATGAGCTAAACTATTTTCGTAATTCCAGTTTGCACAACTTTAAGTTGCGTTTTCATTGACCTAAAAATTGTGAAGATTGGAATTATGAAAACAGCAAAACTGTCCTTTACGTAGTTGAAAGAAGGAAGAAGAAATGCTGTAGTACTGTAAAGAGGACTAAAGAGGTAAGTTTTGACCAAAATAGCCTTATTTCATTTAAAGAAGAAACATTATATTTGCGACGTAACGCAGTGCACATCTTATCTAACATTAATGTTTCATTCCAAATAACTGTACCACGATAGTGCCCAAACTCCAACACAGCTTCAACATTGTTGCCAGATACACCAAACAACAACATGATGAATATTACACTTTTCTTTGTTTCTCCTTGTGTTGCTCAGATCCTTGTTGGGGAACTTTGTGCGTTCTTTACCAAGACAGAGGGAACCCAGGAAAAGACCATAGTCACCGCAGACTGCTGCTACTTCAACCCCCTGCTCAGGCGCATCGTACGCTTCTTAGGTGAGGATGCAGCAAACACAACATAAGACATTGTACCTGCGAGTTCTGCTTTTCTCAAAGGTCCCTGAAGATACCCTTGCTGAATCATAGCAACCTAATAAAATATTTCATGTAAGTGGCATCCAGTTTCAAAAAACGAACATTATTATGATGTTAATAAAAATCTAAATATCTGTCAGTGAAGGCCATAGTCTTTCTTCTTCATTGCTAGTGATGTTATTCCGCTAACTTAAAAATTACAAAGTAATTGCCATATCCTCAGTTATTATTTAATGTAATACCTTAAATGTGAATTAAAAACTTTTATATTTTCATTTATTAATATAAAAACAGCCCTTGTAAGATTTTGTGGGTAGTATGGATGAAAAAACATCTAATGTGCACAAACGTTCGGCAATGTTTCTCACATCTGTGGATTCATCAGTGGCTAATGAAATGCAGTCTGCACTCTGTACAGCTGCATTGTCATTGTTTGGTAATAATTCAGATTTTCTTGATTGTCATAAAGCTGACATAGAGATTTGTTTAGTTTTTTTCACAGCTAGTATTTTGTAACTCAAATATTGCAATAAATGACTTAAGAGTATTCTTCAATCTCACTCTGTTAAGCTGCTTACACTGGAGAGGATTCTCTCACCTCCGCCTGCTTAATGCTTGAAACTGAAAGTGAAACTGACAGCTAGGCCTACTTTCTGAAATAGTCTTCTAAAGGTGATTTTTCCACATGCAAGGCCTGCATAGAACATTTTAATTTTATGGCAGTTTATCTTTTATGAATTAAACAAAAAATAAACAAGAGAATGGTGCCACAGTAAAAGTAATGTACCCTGTATTGATGCAGCAGGACACTGTGAGTCCTATACTCTTGATCCATGAACGTACCACAGAATCCCTGAAATTTCCTCACATTTGCATTGCATAAACGGCATTTTTCAAGCTATTAGTGTACATGGCAATACAGGAATCAGTCTTACAGTGAGCTTATCTTCTTGTGAAAGCTGTACTGTGTCTCATTGAGGCTTGAGGATGAATGAAAAAGATCAGGAAACAAGTCAGGCCATCATGACAGACATAGCCACAACACTTCAGTTTGTCATCCAGTCCTGGTACATGAAGCTGTTAATTGGACTATTAAATGGGCTGTGATGTTGAAGGTAGAACATTCAGGATCCCTGCAGGGAGACTTTCATGAATATTAAGCAGCTTGCAAGTTTGCATCTTGAAATGAATCAGCTGAGGTGAAGACTCCTGCGACGATTTCACACCTTGGCTGATAATAAAGTGTTAGCGCTATTTTGAGGAGAGGGGATGGGGTGGGGGGGAGTATCCTGTTTTTTCTCAAGGCATGTGTACAAGATTTGATACTAATCTCCAATATTTATCGTACTTTCATTTCTTCTCCCATATGCAAAGATAAAATCTTTAAGATCTTATCACCGTATCCACTAACGTTTCCCGCTCCCCACTGCTCCTCTTGCACCCAGGAGTATACGCCTTCGGCTTGTTCACCACTGCCATTTTCGCCAACGCCGGCCAGGTGGTGACAGGAAACCAGACGCCTCATTTCCTGTCCGCCTGCCGACCAAACTACACAGCGTTGGGCTGCCAGTCGACCATGCAGTACATCACCGAGCGCCGCGCCTGCACGGGCAACCCGCTGATTGTCATGTCTGCGCGTAAATCCTTCCCGTCTAAGGACGCAGCGCTCAGCGTGTACTCTGCCTTGTACACTGTGGTAGGTCGGTGCATGCTGCTGGTCGTAAGAACAGCTAGTTATGAATTTGTTCCAAGTGAGGTTCCCTGGAATGCCTTGGTTATATAAGAAGAAACATTTCCTTGCTATTTGAAAAATCTGTCAAAGTATCGAAAATTAGCCATGGAACATGCAATTTTTGTCACTGCCTTGTGCTTCTGTATACTGTGCTTTCCCTTTTGACCGGCTCTCTGCAGATGTATGTGACATTGGTGTTTAAAACCAAAGGCACCCGGCTCACCAAGCCCACCATCAGCCTCACTCTGCTGTGCCTGGCCGTGCTGGTGGGAGTGGTGAGGGTCGCTGAGTACCGCAACCACTGGGCCGACGTGCTGGCTGGATTCTTCACCGGTGGCGCCATCGCTGTGTTCTTGGTGAGTCTAAAAGCATGAATGCATTTTTTTTACCCCTTGTCTTATTTTCTCGTGAAATACTCACAATGTAGGTTTTTAAATGTTTTCAGTTTGATTGGAAGTTTTTGTGATATGACTAACACAACAATGTGGTAATTGTATTAATTAAATGATAAGAAATACTTTAAATGTGAATCTATCTGGTTATCTTTCTAGCTAGTAAAGTTGCTATCCAGCTACTTTAATAGCTGTCTTGCTAGCTAGCTTGCTTCCTTGCTATCTCTCTATCTAGCTTGCTCCCCGGTTACCTTCCAAGCTAGCCAGGTATTCAGCATCAGTGTTTTCCACTGCTAGCACAATCTTTGCTGGGGTCAAAGTCAAATTTAGTCTTAGGTTGCCTTTTTATGGTGAACTTTGACATATAGGTTGCTTTAAATAAGCCATACTTACCAGCACCACATAATACAGTATATTTACCCACTTTTGTTTGTTGAGAAGCATGTACTGTAGCTTTATTCTGAAATGAAAAGTTCATTTTTCAGCATTGCCTTTTAAAGATGACTAATCAAAGATAATCTCCAAGACTGCAGCTTCGTTGTATTTTAGATATATTTCCCCCCCTCATGATTTTTCTCTTCCATTCCAGGTAACTTGTGTCATTAACAACTTCCAACAGTTTCAGCCAAGCCCGCCTCCGCTGCGACCCCAACGTCCTGAATCCATGCTGGGCATGCCCATGGTGACACTGCCTTGTGTGGAAAGTCCACTTGAAAAGTTAAGTGGCCCTCAGGTAAGGGGCGGGGTTGGGTGTAAAGCACAACTGTGCCCACCAAATGGCTGAGATAAACACCCCTTGTCTCTTAACTGGATCTGTTATCCTCCTTTTTTTTCCTGCCCTGTATCAAAATGAGTGTGCATGCGGCCCATGTTCCCAGCTGAAACACCCGAGTGAATCCTTTAAATCTGTGCACACTTAAGCGGGCATCTGAAAAGGGCATAGTGGAGTTTTCTACATAAGACAGACAGAGAATGGATCATTATATTAGCATAACTAGCTATATAACCAGGGGTTTTCAAAGAGCTAGCTTCCCCTTAGCAAATTCGACAACCACGCCGCCAACTGCATCACTATTATTTTTGTAAACTTCTGCTGTTTTTTTTTCTTCAGTTAAGTTTTTAGCAAAAATAACAAAAAGACACTTTGCGCATCAGTTCTGGAGTTTAGACACGCACAAGAAAACTGACCTATAAATGGGGTTAGTAAAAAGTGTAAATAGTGATTAGCAGAACAAATCAAGTACATAGTTACTAGTAACGTTTCAAATGTCCATCTATACATCATATGGTAAAATAATTCCGCTTTACATTAATTGCAAATGAGCTTGCTCAATAATTCATTAATCATGTTCTGCAACAAATATTAAGTCATCCATTAAAAATACATTCAGTACTCTGTTAGCATAAACAGAAAATAATCACAGGCACAAGCATTTCATTAGCAGTGCTTACAACCCCGGTCGAGCCTCTAGATGTGCAAAGCTAGCAAAGATGTACCCTGAATTACAATCCAACAAAAACAAAGACATAAAACTTTTCAGATATTTATTAGTGAAACTAAAAAAGCTCAATGGAAACACGCCAATTTTGGAAAACAGTCGCTAAAAAGTTTATGCGCTAGGGTGAGGTGGTGTTTTAGTGGTATTGAAATTGTTTTTTGCTAAACTGCAATGGAATTTTTTTTTTTTGCATTACGCCAGTGTGCATACAGCTCAAAGAGCTTATTTTTAGGCATTGGCCTCTTTGGACAGCCTGCGAAGTTGTGTTTCTTTCTTTGTTTTTCTTGCACAAATGTGTGACAAAGTTTTCACACAGCTAGTTTCAGGTTAGACCTTGAGATCTCCTCAGCATGAGTCATCAGATTGTCTAAAACACAGCGACAGAGCGACAGCAGCAGTCCTGACTGCCCCATAAAGTTTTATATTCTCCTAAAAAAAGTGCTGCATGTCCTAAAGCGATTCTCAGCGGGGGTGCGGCCCAGTAGCCGTGTTGATGTCTTCCGTCCTCTGTTGGTCCGTCTCCGTCACTAACCCTCGCCTGACAGGTTCTCTTTCCTCTGTCTCCCCACTTTGTCTTCCTCCTCTCGATCTTTCACTCCCCTCCAGCACCCTGCACTCTCTGCCTCCCCGCCACCTTTCAACGCCTACATCCAGCCATTCTAACCAAACCTGAACCCCCTTTTTGTTACCGTCATCCCTCCACTATCTCTGTCTTATTTCTGTTCGCACATCCTCTCTCTCTCCCCATCACCCCCAATCCTAAACAATCAGTTCATCCGACACATTGCACTGGATTATTCTTCTCTCCACCCCGCCCCTCTGTCCCCTTCGCCTTCTTCTTCTTTTCCTTCTTCTCCCCCTCACCCCTCTTCCTCTCTCTCCTTCTCACTCCTCTCTCTACCCCTGCAGACTCCGCGGGACTCTCCGTTCACAGAGATCACATGACCATCAGCCCTATCGGTTCCCCGCCACCCCCGATGTCCTCGTACCGTCTCGCTCCATTTCCAGCGAAGTCTAGACCAGCCGGAGCAGCAGCACTCGCCACACTGCGCGGCCCACGGGTCGGGTCGGAGCACCATGCTGCATCGCTCCTATTCCACGCAGGTCTAGACCCAGCGGACATTAACCCCTCCCCCTCCACGCCCCATAGACTTCCTTAAATGCCGGGGAACCGATAGGCAAACTATTTCAGACTTCTTTCTTCTTAAAATACTGTGAACAATCAGCAGAGAGTCACCCATCTCTCTTGAGTGATTCATTTTTACGTTCTTTTGTATCGAATCAGTCGCAATGGATTTCTCCGGCTTTGACTTAAGAGAGTTTTGTACCGCTAAGTTCACACCTGTGGAACAGGAGGCGGGATCTGACAACCAGAACTGGGGGGATGACCTCCGCCACATTGGACCAAAGACACTCGCTGCAGGCAATGTGTCAAACTCTGTTAAAAACACCTATTTACCAAGCCACACACTCAAAATAATCACTAGCTGCGTTTCCATTAACCACATAATTGCTCAATTTGACATTTCTGAAAAACTAATTTTTCGATGAAAGCGGCGCTACATGCTAGTGAATCATGGGGTATACTTAGATTTGTCCATGACTATGTTAGCAATCAAATGAATTTTATTTCTTCATAACAGTATACCGCAAATGTTTTTGATTTTAAAGTCCCATTTTAGGTTCTTAATTGTTTAACAGCTTAATACGTGTTGGTATTTCATCACTATAACTTTTAATATCGTCATCGCCTAAAGTCATATTTAGGCCAAATTGAGATATCTGCGTAATAGCGACCTCTTTACCCTGCTAACGTCAAAATACATTTGCTTAATGGAAACATGCTAATTTTAAAAAAACTCGTTTTTCAAAATGTTTTGGCACTAAAATGAGGTGTTTTTTTTTGTGTGGATATTTTAAAACTAGTTTAATTCGCAAAACTGCAAAATACTTTTTTTCGTATCGTTCAAGTCATGATCAACAGGATGTCATCATTGGCTCAAACCATGACGAAGACAACGGGAAGCAGTTGGAACTGAAACATTGCAAGTGCAATTTTGCTTGACATTAGCGGAACATTTGCAACGTTTTGTGTACGTTTGCAATGGAAACGCAGCTGTAAGCACACATGTTTTTTTTGTTTTTTTGTCTTCCTGCTCATCTTATCGAACACGCTTCTGACATTTGGGTGGTCGCTCTGTACTGCATGTGGTCCACCTCGAGCAAATCACACTCGGCAGAAACAACCAACCAAAGTAGACAGGAGAAAAAAGCACAGAACCTTTCAGACGCTTGTCTTCTTTAGAGCTTTTTTTCCACCCTGAGACGGGTGAAATTTTACCAAATTCTAATGGAAAAAGTATCAGAGTTCTGACTGCAGCCAAATTCATGTTTTTTGTTGTTGTTGTTGTTGTTGTTCCTACATGCTCTCTGAGATTCTTGTTTGGTCGTTGTTCCGCTGGATTTGGAACATCGTTTTCCCAGGAAAAAAACAACAAAAAAAACAACCTTTTTTTCTCTTTTGATTGCCCCTGTAGTGTCTCTTCTGACTGATTCTGAAGACTTTATGTTCACTGATCTTGTATATAAGATGTAGATGCCACAAGCGCCACATGCGGTGAGACAGTTTTGCTGAATTTGATTTGCACACTCTGCCTCTTCGTCTCCATTCAGCTCCCCTCCCAGACACGGTGCCGTCATTGTGCTATGAAAGGTTTCCCCCTGCTGGATGGCACGTGCATAAACACACTAAGGAACAAAAGAAAAAAAAATCTAATGTTGTCACATTATATAAATGTATTTTATTAGGATTTTATTGATGATAGGCCAACACAATGCATCGGAAAGGAAATACTTATCAAAATTAAACAATTAAAAATTTATATCTACCCCCTTTATTCTGACTGATTAAAAATAAATCCAGTGTAATCAGTTTCTTTAGTGATTGGAGCTAATTCAGTCCACCTGCTTTACTAAACTGTTCAGGTTGTCATTCAAAAATTAAAGGAGGGTGACTCGATATCTGGCAATGATTTATATCAAAGCATTTAAAAATGGCCTAGTCAAAGTCTAGACCAAAATCCTCTTCATTATTCCAAGCTGTTCAGAGCTGGTGGACCGCATTGCGAAACGCTCGACGTATCCACTGAATGGTGGTTTTAGAAAGTTCTGCCTTGGGCAGGCAAGAAAGAGAATGAATACAAATGCGCTCCACACTTTTAAGATTTTCATTCAAGTATCATTTTCCCTCCACGTCACAAATATGCATAACTTAGTTTTGGTCCATCATGTAAGCTAACTAATAAAATGCATTTTTATTTGGCGGTTTGATGAAATGTTAAGGAGTTTAAGGGATGCCAACACTTCACTGAACTCTAAAGCACACAAAAGCATATTTAGGTGTTGTCATACCCGCATCCCGCAGCACACACTTTCTAACCCTGAATCTTCTTTGTATGATACTGTAAATAGAGACATTTTTGTACTTAACAGCAGAATTTTTACTAATTTCACCTAATGTTGAAATTGGGTTAAATTGTGTGGATTTTTTTTTTATTTATTTTGATGGAGAACGTGGATTCTATAACTAACCAATGGGAGAGTCTCCTGTGAGTTTCTGTGGGATCAAACTGTTAAATTGTTCTGGCTAAATCTAAGTACACCCTGGCAGCTTCCATGAGATTTAAAGTTTCTTAAAAAAAATTATAATAATAATTGAAATTGGAAATAAAATGTTTTTAAACTGAAAATAAAGTTTTGAAACTGCAAAAAAAAAAAAAAGACTGAATCTGAAAAGTAGTTATGAACATTTTTCAGTTTTAAACTTTTTTGTTTCAAATATTTTATTTCTGGTATAAATAAGTTTTTAGTTTCAAATCTTTAGTTCTTGCCATTTCAATTTGTCATTCTTTTCAACAAACTTTATGGAAAGTTTTCCTCTAGGATAATATGGGCTATATTATGTAAACACATTGAGGGACATTTTGATGCTAAAAGCAGTGCTACATGCTAGTGAATCCTGGGGGTGTACTTAGATGTGTCTATGACTGTGCTAGCAAACAAATTTTCTGTTTTCATGACTGTAAACTGCAAACTTTTTCAGTTTTAAAGTCCCATTTAAAGTTACTGATCAAACACATGGTTTTACTTCAGCCCTACTTTTACATGATGTTAACCTCATAGCATAATTGCCTGAAGTTATGTTTAGTTCAAATTGAGTTATCTATGTAATATTGATCTCCTCAAACTGCTCCATCACCTCAGCCTATCAGAACACTTGTTAGCGTCCAAAACTCCTTTTTCTTCCCGTCCAAAATATGGCTTTGACGATTATGCTACCAGGTTAGCGGTGAGTATCATGAACATGTCAACTTCACACATGATTTATTGTGAATGTAAATCTCTTCGGTACAAAACAGCTGTAGGAATTTCTCAGTTAGAAGCAAAACATGCATCATTAGCTGTTTTTCCATTTGCCAAATAATTGCGCAATTTGACATATCAAAATAAATTTGCTCAACGGAAACATGCCAATGTTAACCAATTGTGGTTTTTGTGGCCATTTTTTAATTTTTTTCAAATGTGATATAATGTTTTTATGTTTTCATTTATGACAGAAACTGCATATGCGTTAACCTTAAGATTTCGTGAATTGGAATCATGAAAATAAGCTAGCTTAATGGAAACATGACAATTTTGAAAAAAAAAAATCATTTTTGTATTAGAAGTTCTGAAGCTAGGATGAGGCGGGGTTTTTGGCTGTGTTGAAATTGGTTTATTTTGCAAAACTGTGATGGAAACACTTTTTTCACATCACACAAGTCACATGATCAACAACCAGATGTTGCCACTGGCACAAACCATGAAGAAGATGATGACAGGAAGTAGTTGGAGGATGGTGGTGCAGCGGTTTTTTAATCACTTATTAGTTGAACAATTTTATTCACATGTGATTTTAACTGCATTTCCTATCTAATGAAAACATTCCAATTGAGAAATTGTGGAACAGTTTACATTAGAGAAGTATTGATAAAGTTTTGCGCACATTTGTAATGGAAACACAGCTATTGCCTGTCAGCTGATGGTATTCAGAAGCTTAAGCTCATAGAAAACAAAAGCTTTCTAAATCAGTGTTGTCTCTTTTCGGTCTTTTAACAGACAACCATCCACAAGGCAAACTTTCCAGACTCTTTCCCTCTGCTGATATTTACCTGCTTGTCTGAGCCGAAATGAAAAAATAATCCTCCAAAGTCCAGATGTGAAGTTTGGTCAGATGTTTTCTCCCTCTGCCGTGTCTGTATTTTCTGTCCTTATTTTTCCTCTGCCATGCCCCACTGAAGCAGAAATGCCTTAAAATAATCTCCATGGAGACGTGTAATAACTCTAGGTGGGTATACGTTCCGCGTTTGAGTTCAGCGTGTGAGCAGCTCCTCTGTCGATCTTCAGATGTGCCGTCGGTGTTCGCCGTGTGAGCACCGTGTTGGCGCCGCTAAAGAGGTTCAAACGGCTGCACCCCAGAAGTCAAACGGCCTTCATGAAGATGCAGATTTCTCTTTTTGTTCAGCTTGTCAGCCGCGCCGCTCCGCTTCCCCTGTAAACTCTTCGACGAACTCGTTAGAAATCAAAGAACAAAACACGCCGAGGTTGACTGATATGTGAACAAAACAAAATGAAAAAGCCCCACTCGTCTCCTTCAGATCCGCAGCTCTGAGGGACGGCTACGTTTCCTTTGATCCCGTCGCTGCAAACCTTCTGTTTTTGTAATGATTTGTGTGAAGAGAACAATAAATGGATATTGCGATAAGAAACGGGGCCTGAGTCAGTCTGCGGAGTCTGTTAGTGATTTATGGACGGAGCTGTCTGTCTCTCCACACGGCATGGTGTGCGGTCATCATGTCTGCTTAGTTTTACATTGAGTGGAGACATCAACGTCTATAAGAAGGATTTGATCTGTTTCTTCTGCTTTTGTGTTTATTGTCGCATTTAAATGGTTTTGATTCAAAATTTTTGAGCTTCTGACCCCGAAAATAACAGAAGAGTCTCATGGCTGTTGGTTGACTTCACAACCAAGTCGATTAAACGACAGACACTTCACAAACCAAATGCTCTTATCTTCTGGTAAGGATTGTTTTTCTTTTATCTCTTCTAGCAAAGGCAGCATTAATATGCACTAGCATTATAATCTTGGTTATATAATTTGATCAAAACAAACTTTTATCACAATATGGAAAACGATAAAAAAGACATTTGTACGGCTTTGAGATTGCAAACAAAGAAACATGACGATGTGGTGAACCTTCCCAGGAATGGCCGACCCAACAAAATTACTAAAAAAAGTAAAAAGTCAGAACAGCATGCACAGCTCTACATTCCTCAGTTAAAGTCAGAATCCATGAGTCAACAAGAAGAAGCACAAAGTTCAAAGGTGAAAAATACTCATGTGTAACATGTCATATTTGATACAAACGGCATTTGGAAAATACCTTCAAGTTCTAAAACTGACTTCTCTGCTTACTCTCAGGCGGATAGAGTTACGGTTCTCTGACTTTTAATTGTAAAAATTTCTTTAAAACCAAACAGGGAGACGTGAATTGCATCAGAATCGTTGATTCCTACTTTCAACTTGCTCTTGTTAGAAACATTTAACACCGCCCACGTGGCAGCGTTGCGCATTTACTGGCGAAATCCACAAGATGGCGACGCAAGTTGCACACAGGAAGCAGGCAGAGGCATTTTCCAGCTTCCCTTTCAGCCTCCTGAAGCGGGAGGAACAATCAGATGGCGGCTGATGAGGCCTGCACCTGTGTGTGCTAATTGGCGAAGGGAAGATTCGTCCTCTTAATGTCACAGATTATTGGAGGAATTACACACGCATAAGTGGCTTTACAACCTTTATGCCGCATGCCTGATTTGCACAGAGCACCTCTGACTGATTTTAGGGATTTTTGTCTGTGAAACGACTTAAAGGTATAAGTAAACGCAAAGAGTACGGCTGTCTAATTGCGGCCAACTCAATTATTCGAGATTCGAGCGTGATGCACCTGCAGTGTTGTCCAAAAAAAAAAAAAAAACTTGTTTCGGATTTTAATTCCACCCTCTTCCTCATCTCTACGTCCCAGTCGTATCTGCGTGGGAGGTTTTTGTTCGCTTCATTGTCAAACAGAACACTTTTGGATTATTTTAGTCTAAATGTGAGAAGTTTGACCATCACGCAGCAAACAGAGCTGTGGCTTTGCAGTGGTTTTACTCACATCTTTATGACAGAAAAGGTCAGTTTTAGTGGAATTTTGTGAGACAGAACAGAGTGGTGCACAGTTTTGAAGTAGAGAGGAAATGAGTCATAGAATACGAGTCAAACATTTGGAAAAAAACTAGGTTTTTCTTCCCAGTGATTTTGTTTCAGTAAAAATAATAAAAACACATTTCACATGTATTTATTGCATGATCAGACTTCATGCTTATCGATATGAAACATTTTTCTCATTCTTTGAGCAGACGCTGCTGTTCTCAAACCGTTAGTCAAT